GTGAATATTTAAATAAAATAAATGCTACTAATGAATCAGGACCTTTTAAACCATAAAAAGTAGTCTAGATTTTTTCTAAGTATAATGAGAATTTAAAATTGATTATAAATGGGTGACTAAAATTATCACAGATATGTTTTAGTAAGAAAATTCTGAAAGTTATGTGAAAAGATGTTTGGAGCAGAGCAAAATTGGAAGCAGGAGGCAAGTCAGGAAGGTCCTTCATGGTCTAGGTCAGAAGAGCAAATAAGTTTAGAAGAGGGTTTCCACTGGGAAGGACAGAGATGGACCAAACCTTTCCAGTGAACTCCCAGATCAAAGTGTGTGAGGCAAGAAAGGGGCCCAAGAAATGTTCCAGTTCCTGATTGGGCAAATGAGTAGTTTTTGGTGTATTCAACTAATGAGAAAATCAGTGGAAATATCAGGCTAGCAAGAGAAGATGGAATGATAAATGAGAGGGACTTAGAGATGTCTGAGAGACCATTATTTAAAAGAAGTTTAACTGTAAAGAATGATAGAGAAGTATGTGTATAGTCTGCAGAGATACGTGGCCAGCAGAGATGACACTAACCAGCCGGACCTCCTCAATATTTCTGATGAGAATCACCTGGAGTTTTATTCAAATGTCCAAGTTCTCTTTTCCTTTCCTATAGACTCCAAGTCAGTACCATGGGATAGGCGTACAGCTAACTAATTTCCCCAAATGCTTCTTATCACCAAGAATATGTGAGAAATAATATAATCATGACATGTTTTAATATCAAAGATTATATAGAAAGAAATAACCTTGACATATGCAGGAGAGAGGTGGGGACACACAGAAAAAAAAAAGGGAAAAATAGATGGATTTGCCTCTGACAATTAGAGGGACACTCCATCTTACAATTAATTAGAAGAGAGGACAAAATGGGTAAGCACAGATTCCAATTCGTTCTTATTATGCTGTTAGAAGTCCTCATCTGATTGCTTTCTACTCTTTCAGTTAAATATATTTCAAGGGCTCACTGAAAAATTAAATGGATGAATAAGGGAGGGATGAATTTAATCAGTTATGAAAATTAATGAAATAATTATTGTTAAAAGTGAGAAAGCAAATTTTCTGAAGGAAAAGCATTTCTTGAAATGCTTGCATGGCAGGCAATGTGATATTTTTCATAATAACTGTAATGACTTGATCTACCAAGTTTTGTGTATTAATGGCAATATAGAAGCATAACATTCACCAAACTTTTATGTTTAGTGAATTAATATGAATGGCACTTTGTATACAAAAAAATGTTTTTACATTCCTTAAAATTAAATGTATTTTGACAAAACATATGATTTTTTTCAGGTATTAATGAATACATATTAGGAAAAAATTTTGTATAAAATGTAATCTTCCATCATTGTGTGTATGTGTGTGTGTGTGTGTGTGTGTGTGTGTAAAGAGAGAGAGGAGAGAGAAACTCAGTTAAAAAAGTATATGAAAACTTGGATGCTGGGAAATATTCTATTATACTATGATCTAATATTAAGACTATATCTCTAAAAATGATGTTGAATATCCCTATATCATATTACATAAATCAGCTTTATATTGATAATAAGATCCTATGGGCATTTTTAAAATGTCTTTTTTATGATATGAGAAAGTTAAAAAAATGTTTTCTTTGCTATGATTACTAGTAAGTAAAGATCAAAAGAAATGGCTTCAAGGTGTAAAATGAGGACCATATGGCCCCAGCAAGGACAGGTTTGCTATCCTGTTAGCTGTTAAACTGTCAGGTGGATTCCAAAAGAATCTGCACTGTCTCTCCCTGTGAAGTTTAGAACAGAGATTCATCCTTATGGAATAAGTTATGGGAAGTTGTATTTAAAGATTTATCACTAACTTCAATTTTAGAAGCCATTAAATGTTACTTTCAACAAACTAATATTCTCACATACTGATAATAACAGTTTTTCCAGATTCCTCTTATTCATTTTATTCAAATATAATGGAAAAACTGGGTAGTGTATGCTCACTATTATCAATTCAAAATGAATTAAAGACTTGACCTTAAGACCTGAACCATAAAACTTTTAGAAGAAAACATAGGAGAAAGCTTCATGACATTAATCTTGGCATTTTTTTTTTTTTGGACATGGCCCCCAAAGCGCAAGCAATAAAAACAAAAATAAAAATAAGAAGTATATCAAATTAAAAACCTTCTTCATAGCAAAGAAAATAATTTTCTTTTCAAAGAATGGAAAGGATATTCATAGAATGGAGAAGAAATATTTACAAATCATATGTCCAATAATGGGTTAGTATCCATAACTTATAAGAAATTCATAAATGAAATAACAGAAATAAAACAAAAAACAAACAAGACCCCACAAATAACATGATTAAAAAATAGACAAAAGATCTGGGTACTGTGGCACACACCTGTAATCCCAGAGGCTCATGGGGATCACAAGTTCAAAGCCAGCCTCAGCAACTAAGAGTGTCCGCAAGCAAATTAGAAAGACTCTGTCTAAAAATAATTAAATATAAAATGGGCTGGGGATGTAGCTCAGGGTAAATTGCCCCTGGGTTCAATCTCTGGTACTTAAAAAAATAGATGAAAGACTTGAATAGCTATTTTCCCAAGCAAGACCTACAAATGGAAACAAGATAGATGAATAGATGCTCAACTTGACTAATCATCAGGGAAATGCAAGTCAAAACTACAATGCTGCAGCAATTTCAGTTTTGGCTATGTATCCAAAGGAAATAAAATTTACATTGAAGATATATTTGCACTCTCATATTCCTTAAGCCATTTTTACAAGTCAAGAGATGAAATATCCTAAATATCAACAACAGATAAATGGATTAAAAATGTAAAAATGTGATCAATATCTCAAATTCAGTCTTTAAAAAGAAGAAAATGCTATTGGGCATGGTGGCACATGCCTGTAATTCTAGTTACTCAGGAGGCTGAGGCACAAGGATCACAAGTTCAAGGATAGCCTGGGCAACTTTGTGAGACCTTGTTTTGAAATAAAGTAAAAAAAAAAATAAAAGGCTCCAGACTTAGCTTAATAGTAAAATGATTGCCTAATATATGCAATGTTCTCCGTTTATTTCTTGGAACCACAAAAAATTTCATTTAAATAAATAAAAGATAACTGTGAAGTTACAGATATTGTAGTTGATTGTGTTAATTATTTTATAATGTAGATGTATGTATATCAGAATTTCATTGAGCCTATCACACCAGCAGCTCCAGAGTCAGAGGCAAATGTACTGTAAATTCAAAGCTAGCCTCAGCAATTTAGTGAGGCCCTAAACAAATTAGTGAGATTCTATCTCAAAATAAAAAAGTAAAATATATATATATATTTATGGACTGGGGATGTGACTCCATGGTTAAGCACCACTGGCTTCAATCCCTGGTACAAAAAAAAATGTTAAACACATTGAGTGCCTTAAATATACACAATTATTCTTTGTCAATAATATTAATATAGATAGAAAATAACACACACAAGCATGCAGGTGGGGGAGCTAATTTTTTCTTTTGCTTCATATTCCAATGTTTCTTGGCTTCTTTCAGTTCTTTTTCCATTTAGTATGTTGATGTTTTGTTCATTACAGATTTGAGGGTGTAATTTTGATTTTCTAAAATATTGCAATATAATATTAATTTTAAAATATTGTATAAAGCATAGTTAATTGAACTTTCATGTCTCTACATATTCTCTCTCTCACACAAACACATATACACACACACGAACACACACACACATACTTTAATCTTTAAACAGACAACTTAAAGTAAAAATCAAGGACTTTCCCATAATTTAAATGTCAGCTTTTGTTACCAAACTTTGTAGCAATGAAAACAATAGAGTAGTATAGCATTAATGGAAATAGCACAATTGAGACTAGTAGAGGAGTAACTGGTTATGTAAAGATCCATAGAATTGTAAAATACTGTGCAAGCCATTGGACTGAGAAAATTCCATTGATTACATCAAGATATTTTGAATCACTAGTCCTCAAATCATTTAGTGTATAATCACAGCTAGAAGTCACAAATAGATCTGACATGCTTAGCTCACTAGTTGACAAGAGGAATGTTTTAAAAATATTAATTACATGTATATATAATAAATCAGAACAAAAAAAATAAAAGCCCTCAAATGTACACACCATCATTAAAACTGTTTGTATCTTATGTGCATAGTCAGATCTACATTGGTAAACAGTTCAAATAGCCTTGGTCTTTTTAATTACTTTCACCTGATATGAAACCTCACAAAATTCCTCTCCTCTTCACCATTTCTTCCATTGTCCTTTGTAGATGCACTGTAGTTTATCATTACATAAAAACTAGTAAGGAAACTCATGCAATTCTTGACTGGAAGAAATACCCACATAATTTAATGGACCTGACACATTCAGGATTGCATCATATTCAGGATTGCATCATATTTACATTGGGCGGCTGTCCTGGGATATACGGGAATTATTTCACTCTTAGTTTTATCCTTAACAGTATCTAGCACCATAATTGGCACTTCATATGCATTAAAGAAATATTTGTTCAAAGTAGGGGGGAATTGCTTTCTAAAGATTGGTGTGATATTTTAACTACATTGCTATTAATCTTTTTTGAAGCTTTATTTTAAATAACAAAATGAAATTGACTTTTCCTTCCTCCCTTCTCCTTTCCTTCCTTCCCTTTTTCTTTCTTCCAAAAATGGAGAGTTAGTGGAAAGATGTTGTGTGTGAGGTTTTCCCATTTCCCAAAATCTAAAACAAGCATGAATGTAGATACTTGTGAATGTTAAAGACATCTCAGATTTTCATCATTATTATCAACTAGCATGAGAATTCCTCCAAAAGAACAAGAAAAGAAAGCATAACTCTCCATCTTGAGAAATGCAAGTTTCAAAGAATGCAGTTGGGTGGGGGTGGGAGGTCATCCCCTTGGAGACAGCAAACGTGCACTTCAGAGTGCAGCATGCAAAATATAATGTGTCACCTTGCTGCTGCACTGGTGATGATCTTCAGACTGCCGGGATTCCGGATGAGCTTGTCCAGGATGCTGACAATCTGCTCAAACTTGGGTCTGTTGTTTCTGTCTTTCTGCCAGCAGTCCAGCATCAACTGATACAACGCAGCTGGGCAGTCCATGGGGGGTGGCAGGCGATAGCCCTCGTCCACAGCTTTAATTACCTGAGTAAGAAGAAAAATTTCCAAGGATCTAAGAGGTTGGACTTATTCTATTTCTTCATTTAAACTGATAAGAATATTTTAAAATTAGATTCAAAAGTTATCATTTTAAATTGCCTAAAAGGATAATAACTGATGAAGCAAATAATAAATTCTTCATGGCTGGAAACAGCACTTAAAGGAAGATCAAGTGAAAGAAGGTAAATTTAGGAAAAGTGTGTGCAAAGAGTCCTTTTAGATTAAATTAACAAATGCCAAGTGATAAGGGAAATTTGTTGTTATACAGAAATAATTACTTGATTTTATAGGTCACTATGGAAATATATGAATGCATGCAAAGAAAATTCATATACAGATTTGAGCTACACTACAGTTCAAATGGTACCTACCAAATCATAGTAACTTCCTTTTTTGAAATTTTCTTTGCAACACAATTAAGCATTTATTATTTCATTAGCATTTTTATAATATGCAAAGCAATGTTTTTTAAACTTTATTGCACTTCCCTCAATTCTTGACTTTCTGATTCTAATCACCTGTGGTAAGGGCTGATAATTTGTATAAAAACAAATATAGATTCAAATTCTCATGCCATGTTAAAGTTGCTGCTACAGAGCTGGAGTTGTGGCTCAATGATATAACCCTTGCCTGGCACATGTGAGGTACTGGGTTCAATTCTCAGCACCACATAAAAATAAATAAAATAAAGGTATTTTTAAAAAGTTGATGCTACAGAGACCACACTTTGGGATCCACTGATATAGAGAGAAATTAGATTTATCAAGAGCTCTGTAATGTTTTGAACAATCAATAAAAAAAAAAGAAAAAAAGAAAAAGAAAAAAAAGAAAAAAAGAGATGTGGGAAACTGAGGCCATTAATCCCAGTATCATTATAAAAAAAGTTTATTGGAGGAGCTACAGAAAGATTTATTTATCAAAATACATTAGAAACAATTCTACAAGTGGTAAGGAGGAAATTACTAAAAGCATTTCAGTTTGCCTTCTTTTGTATCTTTGGAATCATGCTCAAAGTTTCTGGCCGGAAAGATGTTGATCCCATGTATTAATAACATGCTCTTAGTAAGCATTAGCAAAACATAACCTATTAAAATAAAATTTCTTTAGAAAAATTATACCAAAGTAATAATAGAAAATTAAAAATTGTTCTATCTATTCAGAAACTTCAATTACTATAACTAAATTCATGTGCACATTTAATACAACATGGTATAAAATTGGTTGTTTTGGTTTGAATTTGCAAAATAAAAAAAGTAGACAAAATATTGGAATAGATGTATTAATTCAATCAAGAAAGCATTACAGGCATGTATTTTACTAATGCAAAAATGTAGCAAAATATTTCAAATACTCCATGTATGTATATTATAGATAAATTATTTATATATATTATAATATGTACAATATAAATATATATAAATATTTTATTATATATTTATATATATTATATATTTTATATATATATGTGTGTGTATATATATATATATACACACACACACATATGGGTTTTCTTATTATCACTTATTTTATTACATTCTTGTTACAAATGTTTCACTGTCTCATTCTTAAACCCCTGCTTTAGGAAAATATATAAAGCTGTAAAAGCAATTCAATTAATATCTTTGCAAGACTTGGAAATAGTTTCATTTCTTCTAAGTATTCAATTTCAATGTCACAAACTAGGAGCCACCTGGTCTCATTATGCTCCACTTCCTTGCACAGCTTGATCTTTTAATCTGAACTCATAACTCATAAACTACAAATACACACTTACATCCTGATTGGACATCTCCCAGTATGGTCTTTCTCCATAAGACATCACCTCCCAGAGAACTATCCCATAACTCCATACATCGCTGGCTGATGTGAATTTGCGGTAGGCTATTGCTTCTGGTGATGTCCACCGGATTGGAATCTTCCCTCCCTTTGAGAATAAAATCACAAGCATGTAAATGGGTAATACATAGAACACATACACAAAACAATCAAATCCAATACAATGTGTTGTGGTATTTCTATTCTGAAATGGAACAGCAGCTTCTGATAAATATTTTGATATTCTATTTTAATATTCAAAGGAGCACACCACTTACAGCAAAATTACCTCCAAACAATTTGGGAAATTTTTGAAACCATAAAAAAAATAGAAAATCACTTAACCATTGTCATTTTATTGTAACTATGGCACGTTAATTAGTTATTTGCAACCAAATAAGCTGACGTAAAAGTAATACACTATGATTTTTCACCTCAGAACTTAAAGTGATACCACCTTTGTTGATTTAAAATATATTTATGTTAATCAAGTGATATTAGTTAAAAAATAATGAATTAATATTTATATATAATTTAGACAATGTCTTTTTACATAAATAAATATAGGTATTCATTAAATAAACTCAAAAATATAGTTAAAATGTTACTCTCTACAAATTTAAAAACTGTCCTTTTAAATGTTACTAACACAAAGAAATGATAAATGCTTGAGGAGATGGATTTTCCAGTTACACTTATTTGCTCATTACATATTGGATACATGTAATGAAATATCACACTCTCTCTTTGAGCATGCATAATTATTATACAATTTAAATTAAATATTTTATTACTAGATATAATGATCACTATCTCAGGACTTATTTCTGGAGGAAAATAATATTGCCTATATATATTGTAGGAGCTATAAAGGTCTAAATTCCAGGAATTTTCTCTCAATTTACAATATAAACTTAATAAGGATCTACTATTGTCAGCCATGTAGGAAATACTATGCTAGTTACTTCAAATGAGACAATTACAAATAATATGCTGACCCTTTTGTTTGAAAAATGTCAGGCAAAGAGGCATGATAATTACTTGCTGTGAATAAATACAAAAAAGAGCACATTTCTTTTCAAACTTGACACTGCTTTAAGTACACACTTTTCTTAAAATAGAAATTCTGGTTTAGGAGTTCTAGTGTAACCACTGTCTGCATTTCTAACAAGTTCCAGGTGATGCTGGTTCTTGTGGTCCATGGACCTTACACCGAGCAGCTATGAGGTAGTGGCAATTGTTTCGGATGCTTACATGAAATTTAGGTTTGGAGGTCTCAAAATTTCAAGTATTTCCTCTTGATTTTGACAAAAGCAGACTTACAGATGTGGCACTTAACAAAATCTAACCAGAATTCCAATGGAACCATTGAAAATACTTTCTATTCCTTAAAGAACTCAGAGAATTAACAGAAGTCAAACAAAGCTATATTCATGGTACAAAAGGAACGCACTATTTTAAAATCAGTTACAGATACTCTGATATGTTCTTAGTGACCCTTCCTTCCCTTTTACTAGAAGCAAACTACTGAAAGTATATGAATGGCAGGTTAAAAAAAGAAAAAGAATAACAGAAAATCTCTTTCCAGGCTGAAAATTCTTATCTATTTAGAAATAAAAGACAGATATTTGTCACCAATGTTCATTGTTGCAATTAAAATATATGAATTAGAATATAAAAATAAAAAATAACAGTAACCTAATGTCAGTCATGACCAAGAACCTGTTTTTTTTAAAATTTTTTTTCAACCAGGATTAAAATGGAACACACCAAAGTTGTTTCATTCTTAGTCTTAAATCATTATTTTTCAGAAAGAATTGAGCATACTTCAATAAAATTTATTAAAATAACAAAATACTGAAAAGTGACCTTTTTTTAGGAAGTAGATAGCAACACCCATATTTAAGCTTGAAAAGAATCCAAGTTGTTCTGAAGACAGATGTAAGGCTATTGGAGGAGTTTCTGCTGAGGCACCATGTCCAACTCTTCCTAGAGATCTTTGCTCTCCTGAATCTCTGAACTTGCCTGGGATTTAGTATAGTGCATTCTCTAGTGTAGCATGTGGTTATAGATATAAGCAAACTATTTCCAGAAAGATTTCCAATCAGTTGCGATTTGCTTTCACCTGTGTAAATCTTATTTAAAGATCGTTTAAAACACAAAATGGGAAATACGTTTGGGAAAATGTGTGGTAAATTATTTTAATGAAAACATTACACTTTTGAATTCTTTTCTTTTCCTCACACATTTTGTAACAGTTGTAGTCTGCAGTGTGCATGCATGTGTGTGTGTGTGCGCGCACACACATACACACACATACACCCACACACTTGTTAGTATAACAGCTTCTCACTTTTTAATATAACAATTTCTTAACTCTGAGAATGCAAAGATAATCATAGATTTAAGACCCTCACCATTTCCCTAGCCAGGCATTCTGTAAATGATGCTATCTATCCCTGGGTAAATTAGAAGGATAAAAATGACTAAGGGTTATTAATTATTATTTAAGAATTTTTGTCATTTTTAATGGATTTATAATATATGTAAAACAATGAATAAAATATCTTTTCCTTAATAGAATACTCAACAAATGCTCTCTTCTTTCCTCTTTTGCAGTCCCTTCAATAGTTTGACACACATTTATTAGTGGTCTAACAAGTTTATTAAATGAGGATCTAAGGGAAAGGTCATTGTCAACTACAAACCAATATTCAAAGTTAGTAATGCTGGTTTTGTTGCTAAAAAATAAAATCATAATAAAAAGAATTTTTAAAAACTTCCTTACTTTCCACAATGATAAACATCAAGTCACCACAGCTTTAAATGAAAGCAAAATAAACCAACAGTGTACATATGTAATTTAAACTTCAAAAAACAAACTATAGAAGAAATTTCAAACCAGTAAAATCAATATGGAGTTTAATGGAAGGTGAATATTCATGTTATCACGAAGTCTTCAATTAAACAACAGTGTAGTTTTAAACTCATAATGTTCAACATTAGTAAAATGTTTTAGTAGAAGTAGATCTTGTAATAATATCCATTGTTACAAGTAAAATTAGAGTTCCCAGACTCTCATTTGAAATCCCAAGTCTATGAAAAGTTGAATATATTATAAGGCTCAAATAATTAGCATAACTCACATGAGCTTGTACTCACTTCAAAGAAAGAGAGGTCTCTATTTAAATGAGTTATCTTGGCAAATGTGCAGAGTAGCCATTCAATAAATGCTCATTCATCTTGATTGAGTCTCCTTTCTCCTGAGTACATGGTGGCTTCTTGAAAACATTTCCCCTGCCTGCCTTCGTATTACTACAAACCTTCCTACTTAAACACCTGGTAAAGGATAAACTCAGATGCAAGATTTGGGAATTTCTCCGGCAGAATCCATCACTCTCTTTTGTCTGATCCTTCCACTGCTTAAAGATCTTGCCTTTCACCTTCATTTTTGCATTCCCATAGGATAAAATAGAATGTGACTTTCTACCTGTCCTGTTTACACCTTATTTATTGTAAAGAAGTATATAATTCCTTTAAGTTGGAAACTGACTTATTATTTTATAGACAGTAGATTCTACTAAGGATTTCTGATAATTCTCAACATTTTAAATTGTTTAGTACATGTTCAGGTAACAAATTGAATCTAGTATCTCAGAATAGATGTAAACATTAAATATGAAGACGCCAATATAAATAGTAAGCAAAAGCACAACACAATTTATTTTTTAAATGTTCTTGCATTAAAACATTTTAATGGCTCAAAATAGTAGTAAGATTTACTGAGCATCATATTTTTAGTATCTCTAAAACTTTGAATCTTTGCCACATATATACAAACTCAGCATTTACACTCTGCATATGCTTTTAAGATTTTCATTTCCCTTCATAAACAATATACATTCTACATCAATGGCATCAATATTAATATTAGAGTTATTACTTTAAAACTCTAAAATCACCAAAATAATTTTTAAAGTATTTCAGTCTGTGCACATGGATACTACTGTATACCCTTGTAGAATTATTCTAATTAAAAATTTAAAGTAGAATAACAAAGTAACAGTTAAGTTCAAAGATTAGCAGCTATGTTTTTAGTCAGCAGTATTAAGCATGATGTTTGTTGCTTAATTTAATGCTATGTAGATGATATTTTAAATTAGATGTCTTATCTGTAGAATCCCAGCAGAATAATGTTATTGGGATATATAAAAATGGGTTTTTAAGCTTAAATCTTTTATATTTTATTTTCTAGCATTTAAATTATTTTTAAACTGATAGATAACATTGTTTCATTTCAAACATGATTGTCTGCAGTATACATACATTGTAGAATGATTAAATCCAGCTAATTGACAAATGTATTTCCTCACGTAGTTCTCATTTTTGTGGTGAAATATTTTTGCAATTATTTGAACATACAGTATATAGTCATTTAGTATAGTCACTTTGTGTGTAAATGGATCTGTGGAAATTTATTCCTAACTGTAATTATGCATAATTTTAGCAATATCTCCCTATCCCCCACACACAGAATCTGGGAGCCAACATTCTACTCTACTTTTATGAGGTAAAAAAAATCATATATTTTTAACTCACATAAAATCATTACAATAGTACATATTATTGGGATGATACAATTCTTCAATACATGTATGCATTGTGGAATGTTTAAATCAGATTAAACATTTTATCTCCTCCAATATTCATTGTTGCTTATGGTCAAAACTTTTAAATCCTTTATTCTAGCTTTTTAAAAATGTGGCAAACACTGACCTGCATAGGATCCAGACTCACAGTAGGCCCGGGTCCATCCCCTCACCTGCAGACATTGGCTGGAGCTCAGGCTCCAGCACAGGACTGACTCTTCTGACCAGCAGACCATCATGGGAGCTCAGGCCTGGCTCAGATCTGCCACACCAACATACATGGGACCCAGGCCCAGGGTAGGTCTAAGTTTGCTACTCCCCACAACCTGGGAACCCAAGCCTAACCCACTTCTATCTTGGGACACTGCAGACATTACCATATCCTTCCCCACACAGTAGCCACTACCTTTTTAACAATAGACAGGGCCTATAAGCAGTTGCATCTCCGAGAAGGCATCCT